GACTAAAGTGTGATCACAGAGAATAACAGGATACTTACTGACTAGTATTTCTAGGAATGCTGCCTCTGTTACCTACATCTTAGGGAGGGAATTTAACCATATGTCTGTGTATATTTGTTTGTATCTCTCAAAAATAATGAGAAAAAATGTCTCTGTGTCAGGCCAGAGACCCTAGCTTGACAACCTCTATGTGAAAATAAGTGACTGTGAATGCCTAAGGAGAAAGAAAAGAAATGGGAAATATGTAGAATAAATTTGGCATGCTGTCTTGGTATTTGGCAATTAGTAACTTGGGGATTTATGGTACCCAGCCCACTCTACCTCCAAGTCAGTTGTGTGTAATGCTCTATATCTCTAGTTTATCAGTATTTGCTAGTGGAAGGTCTTGGGAACTTGGAACCAAATTTCAGCAAAAACAGGCCTCTAAAGCTGAGGGTTTGTGTTTGCTATCACAGCACTGTTGAGATACAGCTTCCTTGGTAGGAATGCTCAGGTATCTTTGTGACTCTAATTGTAACCAATAACCTGACAAAGGCCCTCACAGGAGACTGACCCATATCCAAAAAATGCTGGCTGCCCAACCACCTCAGTTCTGGCCATGGCTACTAAATTCCTGGGGATGCCAACAGTTTTCCAGTGCAGTCAGTTTAAATAAACTCCCACCTTTTTTCCTTTTTTCTGGGGAGTCCTTATCTGCTATGGATAAAGTGTCAGTGGGTTCCTGTGTTACTTGTGGAAATTCGTTGACAGAATTGAAGAGCAGTGGGCTTTAAACAGGACAGGACTAACATTATGTCCCCATTTTCTTTTAAAAAGGCTTTCTATGTAAAAGCTGCAGAGCAATATTCTGCAGAGGCATGAACTTGCTTACTGCTGCCTTGGCAGACTGCCTATTCTCAGATATTGCCTATTGTCTCAGGTCTTACTTTGCTGGGAATATTGGAGTCCATTTACTGTAGTTGTTCCTTCATTTGAATTTCTGTCCTTTTCTTCATGATATATATAAATAATTTGGAGAATATTTTCAAAAATTAAGGCTGATTAATTCCTTTTTCTTCATGAAAGTATCCTGTAAGTGAGGAAATTTGTTTTAATGGCAAAATCCACTGATCAGTGGTAGCTTGAGGAATGATAGCGAGGAGCAGATATTCATTAGGGATGAAAACATCATGGTACAATTCTTCTGTGTTCCCTCCAAAGTTCTGTTCCCAACCTAGCTCAGAGACATTGCTGCTCTGAAAACTAAGGATGGGAACAGCACTGTTGTTGTACATACATCAACATGGTTGTTGAAGAATGTCATTTTCCGTTTTGGTTTTTGTTTTTCCCCTGTGTCCACAGCTGTAAGAAATGAGCTTTTCACCTTGCAGTGTGTATTGGCACACACACATACTCCTAAAGCCCCAGGAGGGGCAATACTAAGAATCACTTCTGCATCTGTATATTTGCTAGGGGGATAAAGATGGGGTTTTTTTACCGTGTCCTTGGTGGGATGAGGTTCAAATTGCTGAATTCTGAACATCTCCAGCTCGTTTAAGACAGAGCAGCATCATGTGTTTAGAGAAAGCTTTGCTAATTGTATGTGGGACATGGCAGGAACCAGCTCAGTGTTCAGAGCTGTCCTGAGATTTCAGAGTGAGCTCCTTTGCAGAGTTTTTGGATCACTGCAGAGAGCCTGTAGTGCTGCTTGGGGTGAGACCAGCACCCCTGGCACCAGGGACACGCCTGCACTGCCCAGGCATGCTGTCCATGACTGCTCTGAGCAGAATGGGAGCCCTCTCTCCTAGGAACAATCTTGCATTTGGTGGCTTTCACAGCTGATGTTAATGGAACATTTTTGATGCCTTAGTAACTCCAAATGACTTTGAACCTTCCAATTTCCAGATTTAACCTGTGCTCTTTTCCTGCTTCCTATCTCTGGTATTTAACTATTTTATAAATTTGGTGCCCCCAGCTGCAAGCTTAGAGCCTGATTAATGTTTGAAGAATCAGGTGAACAAACACCATTGGGCAGGATGGCTTTCAGTGCTGGTAGCTAACACTACACAGAGTGGTTTTCATCCGTTTGTTGCCAAATATGAGTATCCATATGTTGTAAATAGGAAATGGAGGAGAAGTGACACACCAACATTGATTCACAAACCCAGTGTTCAGAGTTCCATGCCAGTGATTTGTCTTTTAATCTATATTTCCTCCTTTCCCCTCACCCATCCCCAAAATCCAATATATATATATATATATATATACAGAGAGATTTTTCAAAGCTCTAATTCAAGTTCAACCAAAAAATTACACTTAGAACGTATACTGGGACTACATCCAAGGACACAGTGATGCTGTAGAATGACAAATCCCAAGTTATTCACCTTTTGCCTGGAACTTGTTTATGTATTTAGCTAAAATGGTTGTTATTTATTTACTCACTGTTTTGTCTGAGGGAGAAAACATCAGGTTTGTGTTTATAGGCTCATTGGGTTTGAGTCATCCTAAGGGGAGCTCATCACCTTGCAGACTGCTAATTCCTTGAAATAATGAGGAGGTATGGTAAAAGGAATTCGCCTCACATGTCTCATTGGAAATGCACTAATCATCTTAGTCCTACAGGATGCTGTGCTCCCCTTAGGAAGTGCTAACAGTATACTTATCTCCCCATACCTTGTGTGCACTCAGGAAGGTGTCCTAGCTAAAGCAGAGCAGCAGTTTGTTGATCTGGTGTGTGTTTATCTGCATAGGATTGGGTACTGCTGTCTGGGCCTTTTCACTGTTGATGTAATTAGCTCTCACAGCAAGGATGCTTGGCTACAAAGCTCTTTTCGGCTGTTTGCTAGCAAATTGAGAGTAAAAAGCCAGCCATGTGATTCTGTGTTTAAAAAGCCATGTGATTGATTCTCTGTTAAGTCGAAAGTGCTTCTGAAAGGAAGGGTAGGAAATATAAATACTTGCTAATTTTTGCATAGCAGATTAATTGATTTATAGCAGCTAGGAAAAAAAAACTTCTCATACTTGTTCAAACTTAAACCAAGAACCTTGGCGTCCTGTCCATATTATAATTTCCTAGAAATTTCTATAATTTCAGGATCTCTTCTTCAAGAAACAGGTAATGACTTTTCCTCAATAGATTTCTGTGCCCTATTTTGGAGTGGTGCTAGAGTGGGATTCCCTGAGAAACTGAGTGTCATATTTCACCTGTGTTACTTGTCCTGCACTAATGATGTTCCTTAGAACTTGTTTCAGTTCTTGTGAGTTTTCCACATTGACTTTGGGGGTCTGTGGGCCTCAGTTAACAGTGGTGTTTTTCAAGAGCTTTTACTCAAATGCTTTTCTGTGTAAGACTGAAGTTGCTTGTTGAGGAGGAAGCAGTGAACTTTTGTACTGAAGAATGAAGTATCCTTGAAAATGGTAGATTTTATCCTGCTCCTGCTTTTCTTTATGGTCATTTCCTTCTCCCTTCTTCAGAGCAAATGCAATTCCATATTTTTCTGCTCATATTCCTGCTGGAAATGTTCATCCCCTTCTAGACAAGATATCCAATTTTATTTTGAAGGCACAGTCAAACTAGGCACAGGAGCAAGTTGGTTAAAGTACAGAAAAAGTAAATATTCAGACTGGAGGAAATGCAAGTCTGCCTGTAGACCAAGTTGAGATCTCAGCTTGAAATCTGCATAGTCTAGGGAATCTACTGACTTTTCAACACCCAAGTAATATCTCTCCTGAATGAAGGTGATCTGAACTAGGATGAGTGGGTTTTACTCTTGGTTCATCTGCTTATTCTGATAATATTTTGCATTGTGTGAGCCAAATTATTGCCTGAAGTACTTCTGTTGTTTCTTTTAAAGTGTGCTCTATTTAGTGGTGTATTTAGTTCAGTATGTTTCACTGGTGTAACTTCTTCTAGGACTTCACAGGAAGTTATTGCCCTCATGAAGGCCACACAATTGTGAGACAAAGTACTGCTTCTGCATTGTTAAAATATCCCTGACAAACGCTGGGTTCCTGCAACTCTGCCCATTGAGTCTTCCACTGAGAACTAGGTCCTGTTTTGCTTGTATGTGATGCTAAAGCCCTGGCTCCCTTGCAACCTGGACTTCAGCATCTGATCCATGAGCCTGATGGGGTTTGTTCAGGAGGTGGTAGAGCAAGCAGGCTGCTGCAGGGGTACCACAGGGCAGAGAGCAGCAGCTTCTACTCCTCAGACATCTCAGAGCAGGGCTGCTCAACACGCTGCAAGACTAAAATTCTGCAAGTTCTACAAACGTAAAGTTTCCATAGGATTTCCCTGAGTAATTATTTCAAGGTTGAGCCACAAGTAACACATTATATTTAACCAAACAGCTTTTTCTTGCTCCTTGAATTGTGTATAATACAACTCTTTTGTATCACTATTGTAGCAGGATGTTACAATTTCAACTTAATTGGGTTTGAAAGTATCAGGACTTGCCTGCTATTGTGCCTCCATAGCAGCGCTGAACTTCTCCATTGACTGACGTGTTAAGTGGCTGAAGTGGGACCTTTTCATGTTTTGGTCTTGTCTAGTGCATCTCCTTGACCCAGCACTTTTGGCTGGGAGGAGAACTACCATCCCCATATTATAGGTAGTGAAGCTAGAAAGAGAAAATGATTACCCAACATCCCTGTAATTAGAAGACATGTTGCCATGGCTTCCTTTCCCTTCTTTCCTTACCCAGCTTTCCTTTCTTCTCACTCCCTGAAGCATTACATCCTCGTTAGCCCTTGCTGTCTCCTTTTATTTTGCCTTAGGTAAACCAGATGCTCTCTACCAAACATCCAGTTATGCAGTAGAGGAAGAAATAATAGATGGAGGTGATACACCCTTGCGATGTTTCACCTTCACTGTAACAACGCAATGTTGAATAAGCTGAGTTCAATTTGTGTGCATTTTGTGTAAATCTGTAGAAACATATCAGGGCTGGGCATCCAGGTCTTAAAAGGACACAGATATGATTAACATTTGCTATGCTTTCATTTTTTGTCTCTTGTAGCAGAGTTTTGCTGTGGATTCTTTGTGATCCTGATTCTGGGCAACTTCTGGTTCCTTGCTGTTCTGTACCTGCTGTGGCTTTACCTCGACTGGGAAACACCATGTGCTGGGGGCAGACGGTCCCAGTGGGTCAGAAGCTGGACTGTCTGGAAGTACTTCAGAGAATACTTTCCCATTCATGTGAGTGAAAGGTTTCTCACAAACAGCTTGAATAGCCATAAGCATGGGCACACATCTAAGACTTATCTTTGCTAAAATTCTAATACTCGCTCCAGGGTGAACTTAACTTCTTTCTAAAGCATGGGAAATCTGAGATTTAGTGACAAAAGGGACAGGGCCTGGTTTTCTCGTTGGACTGTTGGGTGACAAGGTAGTGCTTCAGGACAGTAAATGCTAGACTGTAAATGGTGTCTAAATGGTATCCTGACACACCTATTTAAGCTGTGTTTATCTGTAAAGCAGGACAGTAGTTTTAAGTGCTCAGAAGGAAATTCACTGTCATTGCTTCTATGTCCTGTCAATGTGCAATCTCCATGACTGTTGTTTTTGAGGTAAATATTATAATGCCCACCACTGACTCTATTTTTCAGCTTATAAAAACTTCAGAACTGAACCCAAATCACAACTACTTACTTGGCTTTCACCCACATGGGGTCCTGGTAGCTGGAGCCTTTGGAAACTTTTGCACCGAATCTCATTTCAAAAATTTATTTCCTGGGCTTACTCCATATCTTCATATCATGCCCATCTGGTTTGGCTGTCCCTTCTTCAGAGAATACATAATGTGTGCTGGTAGGTAAAAGCAGAATGTCTCAGCTGTTGTTCCATCTTTTAGCTTCTGTTACTAATGTAGAGCCTATTCCTCTACTTATATATGATAAGTAATTTCAGAAGGATCAGTGTGGGTGCTAAATTTAACCTCTATTTTATAATGAACTGTTGTGGCAAAAAATTTTGGAAGGTTTTACTAATAGTTTTATAAACTATATTACTGAGCTGTTGTTTTTTCCTGAAAATAAATTTTTGATTTTCCTTTGAGCTATCAGACAGCAGTCTTGAGTATCCATTATGTACAAAAAGAGAAGGACATAATAATTTGTAATTTTATTTAGCAGGCACATGTAAAACAAAATCAGGCTAATCTCTTACCTGAAGGGCTTAATCTTACACATTACAAATATCTTTATACTCAGAACTTAATTACCTGCTTCTCATTGAAATCCCATGTTGCAAATCTGTGTAATTTTAATTGAGATGTAAACTCTAAAGAGTTTTTTTGCTCTGTTCTGAGAAGCATTTGTCAAAAAGGGGTGATATTCATGATGGGTACTAAGTAATAAAAGAAAAAAATAACAAGCAATCAAGTTGGTGGAACAGGAAAATGAGAAGAATGAAATAAGCACCAGCGCTCCCCCCCAGTGGTTTAATACAGGAGTTATTTTACTTAAATTCACTCAACTACAGCATTTAAGCATGTTCTGATACACAAGACTAAGTCTGGGAGGCAGAGTTTTAACTTTATTCATGACTGCAACACAAACGCTGCAATCTCAGAGAAGCTGTTCCACTGCTTCATTCACAGAAACATGTCTAGGATGTTGCCCAGATTAATATCAGATTTACTTATGTGTGCATACTTCAACATATCAGAGAATGCCTTTCCGTGCAAATGTAATTTCTAAGGGTGTTCTTTATTGCTAAACAAGGGATTGGCAATGGTAGAACATTGCAATTTTAAACACTGTCTTTTAATCATTGTCTGGAAGTCAGATTTACATGTTTTTGGCATCTTGACCCATGGGAACAAATATTTACCTGCAGAATGAGTAATGACTGCAGTAAAAAACACTAAAGAATAGCCAGCACTGGAGCTCTGTTTTCACAGGTATGCAGCTGATAAATGAGAGGGGACCTTTGGTGTATTACAGGTCACCAGTCAAATCACAAAACAATTGCAAAATCTTCCATGTCCTGAAAGCCATGCTCCTGGCACAATGTTTCATTTCCCAGTCTTTTTCTGCCTGTCTAAAGCGTGCAGTTGTTGCCTCTGGCAGCACAGCTGCGTCACTCCCGGGCTGCACAGAGCATTGCCCTGTGTGCAGCCTGACAGCTCAGCTTCAGCAGGAGGCACATTTGTCCTGGGGAAAGGCAGCAGCTTCTGCTTTCCTTTCCAGGGAAAATGCATGCTGACATGAATGAGCATCACTTGAATTACTTGTGAGTCTCAGGTCAGCTGCATTTTCAGAGTAGCGATGACTGTGAAAGCATATGTGGCAAATGGATGTAGCTTTTTACTGATGTCTGGACTTGCTCCAGTTGCAAGCTATTCCTCTTGGTGGTCAGCTCTCAAAAGTAGATCCCAGGCATCTTCCCTCTCTCACAAAATTCTTATAATCCACATTGTAATGTCCCTATTAGAAAAAAGACCAAGCAGGGAGCAGCACATCCAAAATTTCAGCTCTGCAAAACCAACAACATAAACTAGACTTGATCTCTAAATTGTCACTTAGATTATATTAATTCAACACAGTGTAATTGAACATGGCTTCTGGGTAAATGAGATCATTATAAACCTTTGAAATAAAACTTAGAGCAAGAAGGAAAAGGAACCTTTGAAAGATTAGGTGCATATCTGCTGGAAAAGGGATTTTTCAAAGCACCAAGTCCAGAGCAAGACCTAAGGAGATAATAAAGTCTTGTACAGCAGTATGCCTCTGATTAGAAGTGTCTGGATCAGCAGGAGTACCAGAAAAGCTTCATATAATCTACTATTTTAGCATAAATATTGATGAATGCCTGGGCTTGGTTAATAGAGAATGAGCTGATGCAGCTATTAGGAATGGTAGAAATGAGTCTTTTCTGCTTCTTCTAATGATGTCATGCCATTGCCTTAGATGGAGCTGCTGCTTTATAGCTTTGAAAAGAATGGAGGGGTATTCTTGGCACTCCATGTTTGAGTTAACAAGTCCTCTGTATATTCTGTTAACCCCTCTGTGCCTGTGTTTATATCCACCTGCTGCACAGCTTTAGCTGCTGCCTCTCAGCAGTATCTGCTGTATCTGCTGCCGTTCACCTCCTCTGTTCTTGGGCACAGAGTCTCTCTGAGGGGGAGTTAAGTTGCCAGAAGAGCACACCCTGAAGAACTCAAAACTCTTGCAATAGGCAACAGCATTGAAATCATCAGTGTGAAATCAAAGCACATGCCCAAAACACAGTATTGCAGAGTGAGGAGGTTGAATACAAACCTATGAAACCTGTTCTGTGCTGTTATAATTTTGAAACATCATTTCTATATTTAAAAATATTCTTAAATTCCACTGAACTTGTACATGAAGATCCAGTGGTCACTCTTAAAATGTTTTCTCCTGAAGGAATGGTTTCTGCATCCAAGGAAAGTGTCTCACATGTGCTGAACAATGAAGGAGGTGGCCATGCATCCGTCATTGTGATTGGAGGAGCAGAGGAATCTCTGAATGCACATCCTGGAAGCCTGACCTTGAACATCCTCAAGAGGAAAGGCTTTATTAAAATGGCCCTGAAACATGGGTAGGTCTTCCATGAAGCTTGCTTTGAATGCAGGTTGATTCTTAAATATAGTTCATATTATATAAAATTAGAGAATTTGAAAGAGTCTAAGTATCTAAGAATGTGCAGATGTCTGGCACAGGAGCCAGTCTGTCCACCTAAATCCAATCTGGGAGTGTTGAAAACTCGCTTTGACTTTCATAATTTGTAACAGTAGGTGTTATTAGCATATCTTGTTTTATTTCGGTTGTTTCTTGCAGAGAGTAAGAATTATGAAAAAATATTAGTAAATCTTGGCTGGTTTTCTGAGTAGGGCAGACTTTCTTTCTGTTCTGTAAATTGAAGACACAATAAGGTAGAAATTTTTTATCATTTTAAGCAAACAAGCAAACAAATTGGATAGCCAGGCCCTGTTTCATTAAATCACTGAAAATTATGGTCGAGGAAGATTTGTTTTCACTGTTATTCTAAAGACTCTCTTTTGAAGATTGCCATTTGCAAAACTAAATTCCTGGGAATTTTTGGTGAAAATCTCAAGAAAAACTAGGTAACTTTTTACAATCAAGCAGCCATCAGTATGTAATTAAACAGAGATGGTATCAGTATCTTTTGAGTGATTTACACAAAGCTATTGTATTTGTTCTGGTCTGGTCTAGATGGTTTGTGTATTAGAAATATTGAAACCAATTATTTGTTCTGGCTATACTTTCTGGACAGCTCCCAGGATTATACATTGACATGTGAAGCAATGAGAAAAAAATACTTGTTTTGAGAAATCTGTAAGAGCTTTTTAAGCTATTAACTGGAGAAAAGGCAGTCTCTGAGAAGAGGAGCTCTCTGCTTTTACACAGAGTGCAAAAAACTAGAAACTGTTCTAGAAACTGTTCTGTGCCAAAATTCTAAGGATGTTTCTTATACATATCACTAGGATCCTCATAAAGAATTTGTTTGCTAATGGAATGTAACATTTTAATCTAATTTGTACCCAGAAAAAAATCTTGTGTATTTGAATTAGGAGTTTTCTGCCTAAGTGAGTCTTTACTCAATCTTTGCTCAACTGCTGATTAATTCAGTGGAATCCTCAACAGTCACTAGATTTTATTTGTTGTAACCATAAAGACTAGAAGAATATTAGGTACTTTTTTTTTTCTGAGTATGTTGGTAGCTGTCTGGTCTGTAATATCACAAAGGTTGTTGGTGGTTATCTCTCATCTAAATTGATTTGGGTTGAGAAATCAGATACACCTGTGCCTCTCATGACCTTGATTTCAAAAGTATCTCCAACACATAATAGCAAGAGTGGGACACTTACAAAACACAGGAATGGCCCCATTACCCCTTCACTTACTTAGATTCCAGTGATGGTCCTTGTCTTTCTAAAAGGGTCATGGCTGTCTAGAGCCCTCCCCTGCCTGGCAGTTCCTACCTCTGCCTGAGTGGCTGAGGGCTACAACCCACATGGTCACTGTAACCAGCAGGCTCCAGGTCATTCCTACAAACACCAGCAAAAAAACCTGCCTCTGTGTGAAGCACAGGAATGCTGACTTCTCATCTGCCCAGCAGGGCAGTGGGCCAGTGTGAGTCCAACAGAGCTCTTGCCCAAAGACTCAGCATCACTTCTGGTTTTGATGTCTTGTTTTTAACAAAATGGGAAGAAAATTTCCAAATCAAGTGGAAATGACAGGGCAAGGGAGGCTCATGGGATGCAGATGAGATGACCCATCTGCCACCAGTACCTGCACACATTCCTGGTGCTCATGGTCTGCAGCAGCAAATACCATCACAGGAAGGAAGGGGCAGTGCAGAGGGCTGTACTCTGTGGCCCTGGCTCCTGTGCTGCCAGCACAGAAAAGCTGTGTTCCTCAGCTAGGGGTTTGTCAAATGTGGCCTGAATATGTCAGCAAAAATCCTCTGCACTTCTGCAAAATACACTTTGGTCCAAGGTAGTACAAATACCTGATATGAAGTGAAGAAATCCTAAAGACACAAAACAAATGATGAATCAGATAACTTATCTTTAATTTCACAATCGTAAGTTACTTATTTCTCTGTCTCAGCCTCCTACATAGCATCTTGCAAAAGTCTTCACTAGATTAAAACAAATCCCACAGTGTCAGGACACCACAGCTATTGCACCACAAGATGTTCCTGTTTGTCTTTGTGTTGTAGTAAAAAGTGGAGTGTTTACACAGCCACAGTAAGCACCAGGCTTTATGATATTTCTTTTACAGGTGGCAGGGTGATAAATCCACTGGAGAAAGAAACTTTGAGCAGACACTAGTCAGGATAGTATGTGGGAATGATAGTCTGTGTAAGTTCTCAGGCCAAAGAAGCTGTTGAAGCAGTTGTTTTTTATTGTACAGGTGGATTTTGACTGTCCACAGCATTTTCCAGCCAGCTCTGTCCTTAATGCATCCTCCTCAGGCATTCACAGCTCTGCAGAAATTCATTCTGACAATGTTCTAGCAATACTTTTATTTTGCAGTAAGGTTTTTCTCAAAGGTAGTGCCAACAGAATAGAACTAAGATACAGAAATCAAGATTTAAGTAAAGAAAATAAAACATCCCTGAAACATTCAGAGGCTGCTTAGGATTACCCTGGGGTTTTTTTCCTCTAAACTCTGTAGAATAGTTAATGAAACTAAGCATTAATCAAAAACCATACTGCAGACAAGGTTTTAAATACAATGATGGGGTTTACCTGCTGAAGACAGCTGCACTGATCCTACCCACTCAAATAGTTTGTCCAGGAGCTAGTCAGTGCCTTTCCTTCCAGGCCAATTCATGAACTGAATGAGAATTCACTAGTCTGTGCAAGAGCCAAAGTGGGTTCATGCAATTTCTGTGGGTAAGATGTGACCTCTGATAATAACGGATTAGTGCTACTGTTTCTGAAGAAGTCCAGAGGAAGCAGGGTTTCACTAGGAATTGGACAGCAGAGGAGGAATTTGGCATTGCACTCATGTCTGTGAGGGTGTCTGGTTTTTATCATGGTTTTTGTGCTGAAATCAAGGGCACGCATTACTACAGTCAAAAGACAAGGGAAAGCCAAGATCTGTTTTTGATGCCATCCAGCTGAGATCATTATAAGGTTAGCAATGAGGCTTCTTTGCTTGCCAAGGGAAAAAAATGTAGTGGAACAAAGGTGGACTTGCTGAAATAATGGTGGATAAAGACACACTTATGATATGTGCAATTACTCATTTTCATAATTCCAAACAGTCACAAATTGCAATAGGTATCAACCAACTAAATACTGCCAAAAGCAAGTTGCTAGCTGTGTGCCAGTTACTCTTTTTTTAAAACACCAACCAGCCAAGGCATCCAAAAAGCTGCTGCACATGAGAAGAGCTGAATGCCTGTTGCTGATGAAATCCAAAGCTGCTGAAACTCTCTGTGCTGGTTATTGTGAAACTGTTTCCATGCTGCTGATGTGAATTGAAGTGTAAGTGCAGGCTGATGTAGAATTCTCAGTGTCCTCTTTGTTTTACAGGGCTCATCTGGTCCCGGTGTTTTCCTTTGGTGAAAATGAACTATTCAAGCAAGTTGCAAACCCCAAAGGTTCATGGCTCAGGAATGTACAGGAGAAGCTGCAAAAGATAATGGGCTTTGCTTTACCACTATTTCATGCTAGAGGAGTATTCCAGTACAGTTTTGGCTTAATACCTTACAGGCAACCTATTCATACTGTTGGTAAGTTCCCTGCACCTTTTCTAATGTGTTTGCAAATGTTTTGAAATTCATCAGTGTGCTGCTAATATCTATAAATTTATAAATCTGTCCTAACAGAATTGATTACTGTGCATGTACAAGTATGTGAGGTTTACTGTCCTTCCCAGTTAAAGGGGGCAGTTCTTTTCTCCCTTTCCCCTTTCTGTCCCAGCCCAAATGTTACTCTTCATTCTCAGTTATCCATAGGTTTCTATCCTTGACAGTCCATAAAGAAATCCAAGTGTTGTCCAGTTTTTATGAGAGGGCTGCCACAGCTCTGCAGCAGTTGCTGTGGGTTCTGGATGCTGCAGTTGTTTTGTGAGAAACCCAGAACCTTAATTTCTTAGCTCTGCAGAGAAGTAGCAGTTGGATGTTCCAGCTGATGCACAGCCACCCCAGGAAAGCTCTGGAGCAGGGCTACTGGAAGGTGCTTATGTGGTCCTGACCTGGTGCTCTTCAGGACAGAGAGAGAGATGCAGGAGGAAAGGGAGAGGATGCATTGTGGTGCCACAGCCCTTGGGCAGGCTGCCACCTGGATGGCTTTGCAGGTCTTGAGGTGTTTCCTTCCCTCCTGGTTTTTTCCCTTGGACAGAGCCTGTCATGTTTAATTGTGAGTGTGCATGCCAGGCAGTTTGGGAGAGTGTTTTTCCCCAAAAGCTTTCATTACTGCTCATCTACTCTCACTGGAGTGTGGAACTGAACATATTTTTGATGGTTTTACAAGTGCTATTGACAACCATACCTTTGCAAAATAGGTCATTCTGGGTCTCATGCAAAGGCAATTGTTGTCTGTCTGTAAATTTTTTGATAAATCATTTTTAGCCAGATTCTGACCTGAGTGAACTAAAGAAAATTGAGCTTTTCTGGTGTTCCACAAGGGACTTTGAAGGTGGCCCTCCCTTTATATGTGGTTGACTTGATCATAGTATGGAACAAATAAAAATGTTTAAGACAAAAACAGCTCTTTTTATGTGAAATTTCAAGCAGATCTGTGTTTTATCAGTTCATGCAGTTGAATATCTTGAAAATATTTAATTTTTAAAGCCTGCATTATACATAGGCAGGCTAAAAATGCCACTTATTTTAAAGCCAAAGAGTTTATCAAAGCTTTGGAATGAGATGTATTGGATGAGATCTATAATCTGTTTTTATTTTTGGGCTGATGACACCAGGACTGTTCTGAAGCTTAAAATGTCTTATTCATTGAGGCATTTCTTCATCATGACAAAAGCACAGGAGTGCTACAAATCAGCAAGACTCGAGTCTTGCAACAGGACCTGTAAGACCTCACGAGGTTCTTTGCCTTTTGTGTCTCTTCCCCCATGTTTGAGAACTATCACAACATCCCTGTGTCCTTTGAAGTGTGTGGGGCGCTCTTGGTATGGCTCAACATGGCTTTGAAAGCATTGGCTCAGCTCCTGAGAGCTGCAGAGGCACAGTGAGCTCACCTGAGGTGATCAGCTGTGCTGCCAACGTGGCCAGGTATGGGTGATTTCAGTCCTGCTTCAGGAGCCATGGATACAAGAGCCATCCAGCTAAGCCAAGATCTGTGAACTTTGAGTGTTTGGGGCTTGATGAGTGAAGTACTTTTGTTTTTCCTTTATTTTTATATATTTTTTTTTTTATTACTTCTTTTCAGGAATAGAAACAAGTCTAAAATATCAAATTAAGCAAGTTCCTTAAAGCTGCACATAATATTAGAGGGATGAGTGTAGTTTTCAGTCCCACAAGAAATCTTCACTCTTGGGAGAAGAGACTGTTGCAGAAGGGCTTGGGGTCTGTTTGCTCTTTCCTGTCCTGTCTCTGGAAATCCTGTATTGTATGTATATTGATTTCACACCCCTCTAAGGTGTTGCTCAATGCAGGGCTGGGTTCCCACCCCAGCCATGTAAAGTCTGAGTTTCAGCACCACACAGGGTCTGAGAGCTGGTGGCAGCTGAAGCTGCAGCAGGAAAATGTAGGCTCAGCTCTTTGTGGTTCTGGCTAGGCTTCCCTTTAATCATCACCATCCAATCTGAAGTGGCAACATCTGTTGAAAGGAATTTTCAGGTGCCTTTGGAAAATTCCTGAGGGTGCTTTTAGCTCTGTTTTTCTAGACTTCCTCTGTAATCCCCGTCGGGTCTGTTAAGGTCTTAGTGCTTCCAATGCAAGAACAGCTGTCAAAAAATGGTGATTGAACAACACAGGAAAGACTGAGATCATGGGAAACTTCTCTTAGCAATCCACTTTTTAGCCATAGCTTTTTGTGGAAGAGAAGGCTGCCCTCTGGATTCCCATGGAGTCACCTGCAGGTAGTGGGCTTTTGCACAGTGTCTGGATAACATTTTGGTTCCAGGGACATTTGTGGGCAGTGGATGGTTCAGAGACACCTCACAGGGTTTAGGGGATTTATGTGCTACCCCTTCCTAGGCTGAGGTTACCAACAACGTTTCTGGTGCAGTGATATCAATTTTCAATAAATTGGAAGATAAATATTTCCTTCAGTCATGTTCATGTGACTGTGTGGTTGAGGGCACCACTGTCCTCTTAAGCAAGTTCCTCACACTGAGTAGTTTTACTATTCAAATCAGAAGACAGTGAGAAAGTGTATTTTTTAAATACTGTGTTGAACTTTTAGACAGCACATAACACACAGGATTGTATCTTGAAGTGTAAACTGCTCCTTCAAGTTAGAGTTTATCTCTCTTCTCATTCACTCTTTTGCTGCCAAACTGAAATGCTGGGGTGGGGTTTAATTAATTTTACCTGAACTTGAGCAAAAGGAAGTGAAAAACCAGACCCAGGACTCAGGCTTGTGAAAGGCAGGATCAGACCCCAGGATAAGAAAATTGTGCTGTGATTCTGCCATCTGGCTGGGAGCTGTGGTGGAGCTCTTACAGAAAGGACAGCAGTTCTGCTTAAAAAGAGATATCAATGACACTAATGCTGTTGTGTTTGATTTACAGTGGGAAGCCCCATCCCTGTAAAACAGAACTTGAACCCCACCACTGAAGAGATTGATCAGCTACATGCATTGTATCTACAGAAACTAAAGAAATTATTTGAAGAACACAAAAGCAATTATGGCATCCCTGCACATAAGTCTCTCATCTTCGAGTAGCAAATTACAATTTGTAATTCCGAATCTCATGCAAAGAAACAGTATCTGCTGAAAGATGTCTTTCTTGCAATCCACATTTAGCAATCTGTAATTATCCTTGTATAAGGAATACTTTTAAGAATGGATTATTAGATGATTTATTGATTTTTATCTTATTCTTGGGCAGTGGGGGGAGGGATCATTGGGATGTAAGCCTCGAAGCCAGTGCTATTTTGAGTTGTCCTTTTAGGTTCATGTGTGCCAGAAATACGAGTGAGAGACTCCACACAGATGTTCTCACCACCATGGTACCTACCCACAGCTTGAGCATAGGAAATTGCCCCAGCAGGAGATCAGCAGCAGAAGTATAAACCCAAGAAGCCTTTGGTTAGAGGTTGAGAGATTTACCAGCATTTATCAAACATGATATCAGATTGTTCTCTGAACGTCAGAAACCCCTGCTGCTTTTCCACAGGAATGAAGGTGTATGATTTCAGCAGATGGCTACTGTAAACCACTTACATGAGAATTCAAGAATAAATAGGAGCCTTCAGCCCTGAATAGGATACTGGAAAAAATGGTTTGTCCAAGTCATGGAGCAGAGCAAACCTTCTGTTTGGAGAGCAGTGTGTTGAGATTTTTGTGTGTATGTGTGTGCTGGGTGGTGGGAAGCACTGAATGATGTGACTTTTCTGGACAATCTGTGCTTTGGATCATAAGTTTGGAAGATGAAGCAGCTTTGGTAGTTTCAGCTTCAGAAGAGATGGCAGGCACAGAACAGGAAAAGTGAGGGAATCATGTGAACTCTTCATCCTGTACAAATTAAAAATGATCCTATGTCAAGCACTTGCGCAGAAGGAAAGGGAGCCAAATTTGTTCAGTCAGTTCTGAAATTTCACCAAGGAAAGTGTACTTGATAATGCCTTTTTTTCCCCCACTGACAGATGTGGGGAAGTGTGTGTTAAGCTGGTGCTGCAGGGTGACACAGCTGCAGTGCCGAGGCAGTGTGAGCATAGCTCTAGGGTGCAGCAGGTTAAGAGGATGCATTGTATATAAACCAGGTGCCTGAATTTGAGAAAAGGTCTATCCTAAATGTGGATATCCACTTCAGAAAAGAAAAGAAAAAAATCTTAGCCAAACTATTTTTCAGTGAAAATGCCTAGGTCTTGGAGAGTATTGTGCATGGGAAGAATTGTAATATATTACTGAATTTTTATGAGATAAATTCTTGAATTTGTAAATGCTTTTTATCTGCTTGCAGACTTTGCAGATCTGATGTTAGTGAAGAGTTTGCTCTGTTCTAAGCAGTTTTGGTGCCTAAACATTACATAAGTTAGGTGCTCTGACAGGTCATGCATGGGCTTGTCAGGCAGCCTGGGTATCTTCAGTTGGCTTAGTTGAGCACTGAGGTGCTCCAGGAACAGCAGCACTGGACACCTTGTGTATTCAATGGGCTGTAGGCTCTTAGAAGAAACAGACTTGAGAACAAGGTAGAACTCTGGAAAGAAAATATCTTAGCAATTTGAAGGTGTTTAAAGAAAAGAGTGGAAATGGACTGAGCTCCAGCTGAACCAACATCCCAAAGCCAAACAAGTATTTGCCAGACAGAGCAGATGTATGTGCTTCAAAAAGCCCTCCAGCAACAAGGTGGTTTCCTTAAGAGGGCTCTTCCTTCTAGTGCCCATTTGTCATCCGGATGTAAACAACACTGAGCCAACACTGAGTCGTGTTCTCATTTTCCCTACAATGACACAATCTTTCTGGGAACCAGGGCTGGAATTTCAGTGCTTGAAGAAGCCCCTCTTCCCTGACAGACTGCTGTCAATGTGCCCACAATCCACCTCTACCTGAGCTTGGTACCGTGTGTGCTTGCCCTCCCTTTCCATGCCTTTGCTGATCACTGATGATCACTGTGGTGTAGGCATCTTGCTTCCTCACTTTCTGCCCACCTTTCCCTGGCCTGAGATCTCTGGTCTCTATGCATGGAAAATACTGAGTGCTGGCTTGTCATTCAGCAAAAATGGGGTTTAGGAGAAGGGTTTGGGAAGAGGAAGCACTGTGGTTTTGCAAGTTTGACACCAGCTTAAAATCAGGACTGTTTCAGCTCTGGAAAGGGCATGTTTCTAGGGAGATCAGACATGGCAGGTTTGTTACCTGGGAAGAGGTCTCAGGGTCCTGAGGATTGTGCAAATGACGGATGACCCCTGAGCTCTTGCTTTTTCTTAGTCAGCTATGTGAAATTTCCTTTGGATTTGACTCTTTATTGCCTGCCCTGATGAGCAGTGAGGATTATTCATGAAAGAAGAATTTGGAGTCTATGTCAGACTGCTCTCTCCTAGATCATCTGCTCTAATGAGATATTTCCTCTCATTCTCAGTCTGCTCTTTTTCCATTACCTTAATGATAGAGAAAATCAGGCTGTAAATTTTAAAAATATTAGCATTGGGTTGAGGATGGAAAGTAACATTTTTTTTTTGTTGATTAAATTAATCAAAATTTCTTGGGAATATGTGGACACTGATTTTGGGACAATATCTGGTCCAAAGGATACCCTATAAACAGGCTTTCCTCTGAATTCCATGAGGAAATTATCTGTGGGCTCTCTGTACCATCCATAACTGGCTTAGGAAGAAGAAGTAGGGATTGTGTTGCTATGGCTACTGATATTGTCATTGTTTTGTAACAATGGAGATGGTAAAAAACACCAAAAACTAAAAAGCCCAACAAAAAACAACAGAATCTCCAAACAACTCAAATATTTATTGTTGCTCAGTTACCACTGCATATTGCTTATGATGGTCCTTCCAAAGTACCTTTCATTATTGTCTACTGCACCCAGGACTACTTGAAAGTAGAACTTCTGTCTCTAAATGTGACAGACATGGTGTTATCTAAGGTATTGACCTGTGTGTTAGTGTGTGGATCTATAAAACAATTCTGAGCCTAAAGGCCAGAGCCCTGGGAGCCACAGACCCATTTTGGCTACCACAGGCACCAATCCCAGCGCTGCTACAGGCACGAGGAAGCTGCCCATGTTTGTTGGAGCAAGAGTCTCCAGTTGCAGCTCATGCTGGACAAAGCAAGGGCAAGGAGCTGGTAGGAATGGTGACACACCCTCCCACAGCTGCAACTGGAAGAACTGGGCAGTACTCAGATTCTTGGTGGGGATGCCACACTGCCTGGGGCCTGCTTCGTGGGGTGATTCTTCTTTGTGCCTTTTAATGGCACAGGTAATCCCAGAGAAGCCAGCCATCCATCAACAGGAGAAGCTCTGCCTCTAAACCGTGCAAACACTGCCTCCCTGACACACTCAGGATGAATTACCTGCCTGTTCCCTCGTGTGTGAACACCTCTGTGCCAAATTCTGTTGACAGAAAGTCATTCCTGAGTATTTTTACTTTGTGGACTATGCAGCATAGTTTATACTTTGTAACTTTTTATGGTACCTGTAAAATATGAATGTCAGCTGTTTCAATGATAGCTGTGGCAAGGAGGTGTCAGCTAATAAAGGTTTGTACCAAAGTGGGCTTGTGCTGACTGGAATTCAGATACTGGAATTCGCTGCTTTTGGGTGAGGATCCTGGCTGAACTCAAGGGGTCACATTAGCCTGGCTGTCAGGCTGTGCTCGTATCACACTGAGAAATCTGGATGGATTGCTTGCTGCAATCTCCTGAGGAGAGCCTGAAGCCAGGTTCCTGATGGGGTTCCAAAAGGTCTGGGGAAGAAGTGACCCACAGCAGGGAAGGGCTGGGCTGCAGCAGCCTTCAATCAGTGCCAAGGGGCACAGCGGGGATGTTGGAACATGGGAGGGTGGGCAATCTTATGAGGAACTGATGGAATAACAGCTTTTGGAGTTTTGAAGAAAGGTTTGGATTTTAAGTGAAAGTTGCATGAAGGAGTCCAAATCTTAGTCCAAACCCTAGAAAGGCTACTCCCTACAGAGACTCTGCTTCACTTTAGGAAGTGGGGAGGTAAACAGCTGCTTGGAGTAAAAAATGGGTTACATTTGTCTCTTGGGAAGAGGAAAACCGCTCACCTGGCAACAGCGATGTATTTATTGGGATTTGGTTGTTTGGGGTTAAGTACAGCTGCTTAATGGAGCATTAACAGCTGTAGTGACAAGTATCAATTCCAAAGACTGGCAAAGGCTAATAGTATTTTGTTACTAGCTTAATACTTTTTTTATGGAATGATGCCACCTTACATCTCAGAAGAGTATAAAGAGGAAAAATGGGTTTAAAGTGGCCTTGGATTATTTTGAAGTAGCCCCATTATGTGTGTGCACATGTGTAAATTGGAGGTGCGTCATGGTTCATCAATGGATCAACATTACATCCTGGTTTTGCTGAAATACAAAAAAAAAACAAGTTATACCTGTAAAGCAAGGAGTGGAGGAAAACAAGGAATGGAGAGGAACTGGACATTCATGCTTCCCAAGGTGCTGCAGCAACACTCATCCTTATCACCACTGCTTGTGATAGGTGAGTGATGTTACCTCCTCAGCCAGGTAGTGGATTCTGAAGGCAGTTGGGTGGCCTGAGGGATGTAGACAGTGTTTCAGCTGAGGTTTCTTAAGGTTGGCATCAATTTCATGTCAGCTGAACTGCTCAAACAGTGCCTACAGTGCAGATCCCAGACTTCCCTTGTATTTTCCCAGTTTAATAGACAGAATAAAGCTGCAGAAAAGGGTGAGGAGAGGAAAAAAAAAAAAAAAAAGAAATAGATTTTCTTTGTCATATGCTGAGAAATATATCCATTTATAAAAGTAACTAAAAACTATAGGTGAGGAACCATATCCTTTAATGTTGCTTTTCATACCCTAACATTAAGTTTCACAAATAGCACAAGCTTGGGAAAAGCCTTTTCCAGTGCAAAGAGAGAGACTCCTTTAAAGTATTCTGGAATAAGAAATACTTGTTGCCCAATTTGGTGTACATCTAGCCTGGATCTTTTTCCATCTTGGACAGTAGTTACAACTAAAACTGTTGGCCAGCTGACACCTGTTTGTCCAATTTATTTTCAGTTAAATTTCCCACTGGCACAAATGGATCCCTGTTGCTTTTGGAATGGCTATGATGAAATTTAATGAACAGTCCAAGAGCCTGTCACATTGGATGTGAGCTTTTCTTGGCTAACAAGAATCAACAGTGGGCTCACCTTTCCATTCTGTCAGCAAGCAGTATTTAATCCTAGGGAATAGGTGTGTTACCTGGAAATCTGGCACTCTCCCTATTTACAGAACAGATACTGTCCTCTAGAGAGGTGAATTATAGTGTCTTCCAAGGGAAGTTGTTTAGGACTAAGTCTTACACAAAATAATACGGATATGTATGTGCTTGCAAACGCACTGAGGTCCATGTTAAAACAGGTGATTGATTTATTGCTAAAGTTTATCCTATTTCTCATTTCAGCGGTGCTCTGGCAAGTGACACAGCATTGGGTTTTAAAGTTTCACAAACGTAAGGAACGCCGGGCTGTGCGGGGCCGGGCGGAGCTGTGCGGGCGGAGCTGTGCGGGGCCGGGCCGAGCTGTGCGGGGCGGCGCAGGCGCAGTGAGCT